ACCCCTGACTGATCTTCACCCTCCAGGTGGAGTGTCTTCCACACTGAGCCTTCAGGGATGCATGTCCTCACCTGACAAAAGCTTACTGGGTGGCTCTAGAACAATCGGGATCTTCTCCACAGAAGAACTCTCTGAGGATGAAGAGGGAAATGATCAAAAGCCTCTGGGTGGAGGTGCCTCGGCCTCTTCCCTGGCTTGGGTGTTAGGGCTGGGGCTCTTCTTAGCCCTTTGTTTGTAGGGCTTTGTCCTCTCTGCTGAACCCATTTCCCTGCAGTCCTTAATCCCTGTTGGCCACCCATACCCAGCCCTCCTCTGACGTCATAACCTAAGACCTTACACTTGGAACCTTCTGCCCATGCTGTCCCGATCCCTCACCTCACATCACTGATATTGATATATGGGAGCCACTGATCTCACCCTGTGCCAGTGGACCCCAACATATTGGCCATACATGTGGAATAATAAAGTCGCTGTTGTTTCTCCAAATACCAGGTTTCTCTTTATGCAAGGAGATGATGGCAGGCAGTGGGATCATGAGAGACCCACTGCCAAGGCCAGCCTTCCTGTGTCTGCCCACAGAGCCCTCAGGGTGCTGCCACCTAAAATGCTGGGCCTCACTGTGACCTGGGAGGGGCCCGGAGCACAGCAAAGGGCTTTCACCTCTCCTCAGTAGCTGGGTAAGAGGCTCTGAGTGATACAAGTTGGCGTTATTGACACGGGAGCAGAGAATAAGGCTTGATACAGTTTCTTAGGACCATTACCAGGTAAGTGCTGCTATTGTAGGCTTGAAAGGGTAAGGATCAGGGAACACACACACCATACACATACCATACACACACATACCATACATACATACACTGCATCCACACAACACATGCACCACATGCCCCATATACACACCACACACACACCATATCCACACAACATCTACGCACACCATACACAGACATACCATATACATATACACCACATCCACACAACACAGACACATCCCATGCACCATACATACACCACATGAACACACCACATACATGCAACATACAGACATACAACATACCACATTGACACAACTACACACACATCCATACAACATACACACACACAATGTACACACACCACATCCACCATACACACCACATCCATACAACACACACACACAGAGTCACTCAAACACAGGTGTTACATTTTCATGCCAGACTGAAACTCGCATTTCAGAGTTTCAGGCTCTGTGAGAGAGGAGTGGTATTGCGGGAGAATTGTCTGTCTTCTGTCAATCATGTTTTAAGTAAACGCTGATTGGCCAGACAGGAAGTATTGGTGGGTCAACCAGACAGGAAGTAGAGGTGGGGCGATGAGAACAGGAGTATTCTGGGAAGAAGGAAGCTCTTTCCAGAGTCCTGCACAGACTACCGAAGAAGCAGAATGTGATCTGCCCAGCTGAAAAAGATACAGAGCCATGTGGCTAACATAGAAAAGAACAATGCGTTAATATATAAGAGCTAATATGAAGCCTGAGCTAATGGGCCAATCTGTTTATAATCTTATGGAGACCTCTGTGTGATTTTCTTTGGGACCTTGCCGACTGTAGGGTACCGGGCGGGACAGAAACCCCAACAAGCTAGCCCTCACGTTACAGAGTGGAGACTTTTTTCCAATGTCATGGTCCTCCTGGGACCCCGCACATGGGCTGAATAAGGCAGTTCCCACAGATCTGACATCCACACCAAGGGGAAGTGGGAAGAAGAGTGAACCTAGGTGCACAGAAGCAGCGGGCCCAGTCCTCAGGGTCCCTCAGTAAAATTAGCCGCTCTGCTGCCTGTCAAAATGTGGCTTAGGGATCGGAAGGTTCATCGTAGCTCCTGGTTTGATGGGATGCAGGTGATCACTGTGGGGGAAGGCATGGGAGCAGAGGAGAGCATACAGTTAGCACGTATGTGAGCATTGCTCACATATGGAAGGACTGGGAAAGAGAACAGGCAGCTTTCACACGGGTTTTGGAGATCAACCTTGGGTCTTCATGTGCTGGACTGCAAGTCCTAGATAGGCTGGGGCAGCAACCAAGCCCATCACTTTAGTCCTCATTAACAGTACTTAACCTGGCTCTCCAAAAGCCATCCACACAGACACTGGCTCTGGGACCACAGCTGACATGGGATTCACAGGAGGAAATGAAGGGACAAAGCCAACTCCATTCTGTGCTAGGCCCCAAGGTGGATATCAGCAGAGCGGGAAGTTCCCTGGATTGCAGCCAATCAGAGAGTCACCTGTACCCCTTATGCCCATAACTGTAGTTTTGTGGGGTTTTTCCTTTATAAACCCCGCCTAAAATGGTGGGGTACCTCCTCTGGCCCCCACCATCGGTGTGTGAGACGAGGTCCCTACCATGGTTTGTGCTGTGTGATTAAACTTGCTTTTGCTTTTCGATGAGTCTGTGTCTCTGGTGGTCTTCATGGGGTCTCTATAACCAGGGCGCAACAGAACCCCCTGCCATCTCCATTCCAACATCAACTCTTTTGCATTGTTCCCGTTGGCCCATGCTTGCTTTCTAGAAATGCCCAAAGACACCAGCCGAATCTGCATAGTTGGCATGGTGATGGAGTACCACAGGCTGCTGGGACTCCCAATATGTGTCTGCTTGCTTTTTCCACTCTCCAAATTTGATTTTAGAATCTACCCCTTCTTCTGCTTCTCCTCCCGACACACATTCTCTAACATCCATCTGTGCTTGTCTGCACAGTGAATGTCCTCTCTCCCTGCTACACCTGTTACGCCCACATCATGAGTCCCCCAGAGATCACCAGGAGTCTGAGTTCATATGCAAAGGCAAAGAGCTTTTTTCCTGCAAGCTCCAGCTTGGGTTCTCTGTTCCTACACAGCAGTTAGACCAGGGAGCACATTGAGCTCAGCTGTGGCAGAGTTTTTAAGGAGTAAAGGAATGGGGGTGGAATTCTAGATTCAGATGGGGTTGAACTCCTGACAGGGCAGGAGTGGGGCAACAGGAGTGTTGTCAAACAGTCATTGGTACTGGTGTTGCTGCAAGGAAATTGGCAACCTATACACAGGTTAGGCAATGATCTGGAACATCTAGTACTTGTCTCAATTCTGATCGGTTCCCTTGTCTCAATTCTGATCGGTTCCCCACAGAGTACAGCTTGTAGTTTTTCCTGACTACTGTAAGGGTGAGGCCCAGTTCCAGTATTGTTAGTCTGCAGCCTGTTATGGCTTCACTAATGTTAAGTTAGGCCTCTTCAACACCTTTTTGGGGTGACCACCCCATGGGCATCTCCCTGGTACACCCTTTAGGGCCCCCACACGTGGGCAATCCTACTCACTGAGACACTTGCGTGTCTCCAGTGTTTTTTCCTCTGCCTGCTCTAACCTCTTGTCTCTCCCCTTCTACTGGGTAAGTGTCACTACGGAGCTCCCTGCTTTGTCTGCTTTCACACCGGAAGCCACACCAGTGTGCCAGGAAGCTTCCTCTCCTCCTACCAGGCCCCCATCACGAGGAAAGGGACGCCTCTCCCCTGCGATTTGGGACATTTCTGACAAGTCTCTCAGTCCTCTTAGGGACACCCTGGTTTGAAATTCTTGTTACTGCAGCATCTACCCTTCAGCTCCCTCATGGCTCCTCGGCTCCTTCCTGGAACTTCCCCACCTTGCTCCTAGTAGCTGCCTACTAAATTCCACAGCTTCTCTACGTGCTCCTGGGTCTGTGACCCTATCCTTGTCCCCTTCCCCTCAAAGCCCTCCTTGTGCCCTCCTCAGCCTTTATGTTGCCAGTTGCCTTGCCTCCCGTAGAATCTGCTAAGTCCCTCAGCTTCTCTATGTCCTCACGGCTTCTGTGATATTAGAACCTTCCCTCAGGTGGAGTTCCTGCTGGGTCCTCCTCGTCATTTATGGCTACCCCTAGCTGCCTAACCTTCCCCATGGTGGAGTTCTTTTCTCCTCCCCTTCTGCCTTTTCTCCTCTGACTCAATTCCTTTCTCAGACTCAGAGATTTTCTTAAAGACTCCTTGTCTTACTGAAAACGGCTTGGCCTCAGTATAGCTCACTGGCCAAAGATGACATAGGAACTCCAGATCCCAAGATTGTAACGACTTCTGCCACACAAGCCAATGGACCCAAATTCTTATCTCTAAGGTTCTACAACTTTCCACGCTTAAATCATTTACCTCTATGATTTCTCTGTGCTCTGCTCCCAGGAAACCTGTAAAGACCACTGTGTAATTAGTGCTTATCTTGGGACTGATTTGTAAATGCATTGGGTGTGGCTATAGAATCTTGGAAAATCTGTAACAAAACCTGGCTTAAAACTTACAGCAAAGGCTCAGAGTTAAAATCTATATTTAGGAATTTGAATTTGCTACTATGTCCTATATATGTGATTCAGCTCTGCTGTAAAGTGCACTGTATATGCAACTTGGATTCATAAATTCTTGTTTTCAGAAAATAGATCTACCAGGGAAACACGTCTTAAACAGCAGCCACATGACTTGCTTCCAGCTTGGCTGATGACCTCAGTGAGAAGTAAGCAGCCGCATGACTGGCAGCCCTCTTGACGAAGGTTAAAGAGTACAGACCATGTGACCTCATCGTCTTTAGATGACTGACCGTACGGCACAGAGCAACAACTATCAAACCTCTCGGTCCTACTGACGCCCTAGTTTAACACTGCAGCTCTTTTTAGACTAAGGGAGTAACAACAGGCCTCTGAAATATATTGGATCGCTGTGGATTTTTGTTTGATGATAAAATTTAAGGTTATATCTGCTATATACTATATATGTCATTCAATTCTGGTTTAGAACATACTGTATATGATGTTAAAATTTTAAGGTTACAAAGATCTAGTAAGACTAACAGAAGCTGATTTGGAGATTTACACCTAACAACCTATGTCTTTGCTAAGTGTTCAACACAAAGATTCTAAAAAATTTAGATAAGTAGTTATGCCCAGATCACAGAGTCCCCCAAAACCAACTAGGAGATGGAATCTTGTATGTAAAAGCAAAAAGCCTTTATTCTTACATAAGTTTGCAAACTCGGTCTCTCCATGTGCCCAACATATTGGAATAATCGGAGAGCCCCAAGCTCAGTTAGGGTTGGGTTTTTATAGTAGCGAAGGTGGGGGTGTCCTGATGAAAATAATGGGTGTGTGCTGGCAGGTGATCCTATCTACAACGTTGGAATGCTAGGAATCTCCTGTGGATGGTCTGCTCCTGGGTGGTTCCTGGGTAGTCTCAGTTTGTGGTCTTTCTTGGAACCAGGTATTGCCTTAGGGTAAACTACTGAGACTCGGCCACAGTTGGGTCCTACAAAATAGCAACATAGGTTTGATAAATGAGGTATATTTGATAAATAATATTTAGAAAGGCCTAAGGATTACTTGGGTTCACAGTAATAATTGTCTAGCAACTGTGTCTTTGCTCAAGGGTAATCTTTAGCTATTCAGAAAACTAAGCAATACAAAAATTGAAATATTCATTAATGGTGTACTATAAATGGATCAGAAAAGTTGCCAGTCTCCCTATGGACTGAGTGTAATTGTCTGCTCTGTCCCTTTAAGAGACAAGCCACACCCACTCCCTCCCCACCCCCACACCAAGGCAAGCTGACCTTCAGCTTCCAGCCTAAGTCTCTTCTCTTTTCTGTTTCTCTACCAAGAGGCAGCTTCTGCCTCGCTCCATTCCCCCCACTTCTCCCCTACCCCCTTCTCTCTCTGTCTCTCTCTGTGTCTCTCTCTCTGTTTCTCTCTGCTCTTCCAGTAATGGTAAAAGTAAGATGCTGCCTGGTCCCCAAGTGGCTGCAGAGAGAGAAATGCTGCAGTTCCCCAAGGGAGGCAGTGGGCAGCAGGTCCCGAGAGCAGCCAGTCCCAGACAGGGACAGAGCAGTTCCTAAGTGGCTGCAGTCCCATGAGGAGAAACAGACAGATGGGCACGCCACAAGACCATGCCACAGGTCTCTGAAAGCAGCTGGTCCCGAGCAAGGAGCCATGTGGTGGGTGAGAGACAGAGACATGGATAGGTATACCATGCAGAGTGAGGCTGGATATGTATTTAGTGGGCTATGGAAGGGAAAGGGAGAGGGGGTAAAGGAAGAGGGGGAAGAGCAGAGAGAAATAGAGAGAGAGATGGGGTGGGGGAAAGGGGAGAAGTGGGGAAAATGGAGCAAGGCATAAGCTGCCTCTTCGGGAGAGAGATGGAAAAGGAAGAGACTTGGGTTACAAGTAGGAAGGAAGATCTGTCTGCCTCATTGGATAAGGGTGGGGGAGCAGCCGGTGGGGCTTGTCTCTTAAAGGGACAGGACAGATTATTGCATTCCCATCACTTTTTTATAATAAAAAGGCGGGAGGTTAGGCACCACAGGTTAAAGGAATTGGGGCGACAGATTCTCAAGACTGCTTCCTGCTTATTTGTGGGTGTTATCTTTGGGGTGGAACCTGAGAAGGCTGGGTGCTGGCCACATCCTGGGGTAGCTGGTCTCTTTGTTCCTGTCCAGTGTTTGTGGTATGGAAATGTCTGGTGTCTCTTACACCTGTTTAAGGTATTGGCAGAACAGAGGACAAAGTTAAGCTAAGGAAAAAAAAATTAGGACCAGGGAATTGAGAGGGGTGTATTTGACCTGTTTAAGGTGGATCCTTCTATTTGTAGCCATGGAACTCACAAGAATTCTTTGGGTTTGTGAAAATAGAAGTTTTAGACATATACATTGAATAAACAGCAGCATATTTACGTCAGAATGACTATGACAGATATTTTTACACAATGAAAAGTATTTTTAAGACTATGGAAGGCTGATGGGGGAGAGTCTTCTGTTTTGTCTTAATTTCATTGGTTAAATAAAGAGACTGCCTTGGCCCTGATAGGACAGAAAATTAGGTAGGTGGAGTAGACAGACAGAATGCTGGGAGAAAGAAGCCAAGTCAGGCAGTTGCCATGATTCTCCCGCTGGACACAGATGCAGGTTAAGATCTTCCCTGATAAGCCACCAGCTTGTGACGTTACACAGATTATTAGAAATGGGTTAGATCAATATGTAAGAGCTATCCAATAAGAGGCTGGAACTAAGGGGCCAGGCAGTGTTTAAAAGAATACAGTTTCCGTGTAATTATTTCGGGTATAAAGCTAGCCGTGAGGGCAGCCAGGTGGCAGGAAGCAGCCTGCCACTCCATTACAACAGAAGGCAGCATGAGAGAGAAATATGATAACTTGTATTTGTCCTCACACCTTTATAACTTGCGGGTCTTGTATTTGTATTTTACTGAAATTTATTTGGTGAGGTTGTCCTTTTAAACTGATAAAACCTATCAGCTGTCAAACTGCATCAGAGATCTTTGAAAAGGATCAAATTTTACTTGAGTTACTGATTAAATGATAGAAAACTTACTTGGTTGGCACCTAGAGCCACTCCTCAGGGTCCCCCATGGTCTCTGAAGGTCGTATTTGCCTTTTGCTGTTTAGCGCAGGGCCTGCTAGGCTCCAGAAGTTCCTACGGACTAAGAAATCTGTAGGAAGACAAGCCTACCTTGACCTGAGCAGCTAGGCGGTTGATTCCAGCAATTCTGTCCACGTCTGGAGATCTTCAGTTTAGATAAAAGGCAGTTTCACCCAGTGGTCAGTACTTGGCAGTTGAAACAAATTACAGATGGACGTTGTTCTGTGCCCATTTGTCTTCCATCTTCTTTGGAGGAAGTAGAACGCTGCTGCTAGGAGCCAACCTGTCTCTTTTTGTTATGAAAAGTTTTTTAATAATTAAATATTTAAATGCCATATTCCTCAGATCTCTGAGCAGTTGAGGGCTTTTTCAGGTACAGGTACAAGACAGAATCAGCTTGGAGAGCTGGGTTTGAGCTTGACTGTAGTGGCTTTTAACTTAACAGGTAAGATTTATACTTGTAAAAAGACAGAAAGAAGAAAAAATTGCTTGCAATAGAAGGTTAACAGCAGAACTAACAATAGTAGAGAACATCTTAATATATTTTTAACGAGGCTTGGATTAAATATAAAGTATTTTTGTAAGACACTTAAAAGTACATACCAGCTTAAAACATAAGACTTATTGTTTTGTAGTCTGAAATGAGATGCAATGAACAGACAATTATAACATTTAGCAGTAAACATAAGTGCATTTAAGTTATATGTATGAATACACACACATAGAGTGAACAGGAATTGGGTGAAGTGGGCCCTACCAAAAGCATGCCACTGTGCAAAACACACAGGTAACAGAGTCAGCAAGAGGAATTTAGAGACCAAAACATAAGTAAACTGGGAGACCAAGCCGGGTATACCTCAGAAAAGATGGCCAGATGTGGTCACCTGACCTGGCTCTCAGTTAAGATGGTGGTGAAGTTGCCTGACCTCAGTTAAGATGGCAGTAAGGTAACCCATGTAATAGAGTTAATACTGGGGAACCAGGCAGGGAATAACTCAGTAAAGATGGTGGAACATGGTCACCTGATCTGGCTATCAGCCAAGATGTCAGTGAAGTCACCTGACCTCAGTTAAGATGGTAATAAGGTCACCTGACTTCCCCTTCTTCCCTTACCTCCTCCTCTCCCTTTCTCCTCCATAACCCACTAAATAAATATCCAACCTCACTCTGCATGGTGTGCCTATCCATCTATCTCTTGCCAGCCACATGGCTCCTTGCCTGGTACCGGTCACCTTCGGAGACCTGCTGTGTGGTCTCGTGGCGTGCCCACTGCAGCCACTTGGGGAACTAAGCCGTCCCTGCCTGGGAATGGCTGCTCTCAGGACCTGTTGTCTACCTGCCGCCACTTGAGGACCTACAGCGTTTCTGCCACGACAGCCACTTGGGGATCCGCAGCAATTTTACTTAATCCATTACACTGATTCTAAGTTAAACCTTTAATTTTGATATCAATAAAAAAATATTATTTTTAAGTCTCAAACTTACCAGGGATAAAGCTATAAAATCCTAATTTTATAAAAGCTTTTGTAAGTTGTAAAAGATGATTGAGATATGCAAGGTAAGAGTCACCTTATAAAAGACCACATTCTCTGATGTGTTCAGAACTGTACTTGTAGTCATGCCATGTGCTAATGTATTAATTACAGGAATAAGCTCTTATTAGCTTCCTGCATGTGTTTTCAAAGTTAAGCATAAATCAAGTAGCTAGACACAGACCAAGTCCGTTTTGTTTAGGTATGCGTAGTAGAAAGATGGTCCTCAACTCTTCAGAGACCTGATGAATATGACAGTTGCATGTTTCATGGAAAAAGCTTCCAGTTCCTGGCAGTGACCCCAAAGTTTCCAGAGAAGGTGATGGAGCACAGAAGAACTCTGTGGCTGGATTTACCATACCCTGGATTTGTGAGTGTATTTTCCACCCATAGCTTAATAAAGTCTTGATACCCCTTAAACACATGCATGTGGATTTCTTACTACACCCACTACTGACAAAGGACCAAGGGACATAAAAAGCTTTGACTTCTCTCTGAAAATCAAGGCAGGTTTTGGGTGACCAGAGTGGGTCAGTGAAGTAAGGGGCGTCTCACACATTGTCCTCCTCAGGGTCTTTGCACACATTCTCCTCCTCCCACATCTGACATCATTTCCTCCTCCCCAGTCTGTTAGAGATTCTCAGTGAAGACTCTCAAATGACGGTGTGCCCATTGCTCTTCTCTACATCCTCACCTGAGAAGGGGGTGAAGCCCAGCAGGAAGAGGAGCCATAAGTACTGGATGCAGCAGGCTGTCATGACTTCTCTGAGGTTGGGAAGAGCTGATCAGGACCTGGGAACTGATGGAGAACAGGAGACAATTCAGCCACACAGACAGAGATTAACCCCTGGTTTCTGGCCAATGCCAACTTTAGGGGACACAAGAAAGTGAAGCCAGTCCGTCCTGAGTTGCTTGGAAGTTACAATTTACTGGGCCTCTATGATTACAATTCTCAGACTCAGCCATGGATTCCCTAAGCAAGAACCCAGCAGCTCTGCTCCTTCAGTGTCTAGATGCAGGATACCGGGTCCGGGAGCCCTCTGCTTTAAGCCTCAGGACTTCAGGTCCCAGGCAGAAGCTTCTCCAGGCCTCAGAGTTTCAGTTCTCAGCACCCAGCTCCCCCAGACCTCGGATTCTAAGGGCCCTGGTTTGTCCATCCTAGGAATGTGGAATCTGGTTTGTGCTCCTCCCACCTCACAGGACCCAGGATTCTGGTCACCCTCTTTCCTTCTTCAGGAGAGTACTCAGCACCCTGCCATGAAGGAATAACTACAGCGGCCTCCTCCTGAAATCACACCCGGCTGGACTTCTAGTCCCCAGAAGCTTCCCATAGACACAAAGTCCAGACCTGAGCTCTCTTCAAAGACCCAGAAAACAAATCCAGTTTCCTAAAACCAAAGCCCCCGTCCTTCAGATTTGGGAATCCAGGGCCCAGTTCTCCCTCAGACCCACGGCAGCCACAGGTCCCGTCCCCCTCTGTTCTCCTGCTCACCCTCATTGGCTTCTTTCCTCAGACTGGGGGACCTGGTCCCTCGTTGCTTCTTTTCTATTTAAACAGCCCAATCCTTTCTGTCTCCAGAATATTTTTACCAGAATCAGGCTTGGAAGGCCCTTCCAGATGAGCTCTGGTGTTAGCTGTCAGCACGTGCATGACTCTTTCCAGGATCCCCGAAAGAGGCAACCTTGGCCAGATAAAACCTCGAAGTCCAGTTGGTTGACGAGAACTCGGCACCTGGCTTCACTGGAGAATCCTGCTGAATCACTGCGTCTCATCGGTCTCCAGAGAAGCCAATTACTGCCTCTTCAAGAGGCAGGCGTGCACAGAAAATGAGTGTTGGGTCTTTAATCCCAACACTTGGGAGGCAGAAGCAGGTGGATCACTGTGAGTTTGAGGTCAGCCTGGTCTACAGAGCGAGTTCCAGGACTGGCACCAAAGCCACAGAGAAACCCTGTTTTGAAAAACCGAAAGGAAAAAAAATAAGTGTTGGGCAACAGTTAGTGGCAGTTGCTGCCTAGGTCATTCTCCAATTGCAGGGTCACATGGTATCTTGGAGTGCCGCTAGGTGGATGGTCTATTGCCCAGTCACTCAAAATGCTTCTAACTTTACCTACGAGCAGGTGACAGCACACATTGCCATCACAGCTATTTACCCTCGTCAGTACTGTGCGGATGACCGCTCGGATTATATACAATCGTCAGTTCTTTTATTACATTTGATACATCCTGTGTGCATGTTTGTGGACAATCATAATAAGGGGCACATGACGGGACAATTTGGAGTGTGAGTTTCTCCTTCCAATGTGTGGTCCGAGGATTCAAACTCAGGATTTCAGGCTGGTGGACAGTGCCTTCATCCGCTGAGTTATCGTGCTGCCTCCCACTTCTTTTCTTTTAAATAGTAACATATTCATTATATACAAAGTAACTAGTTTCTTTGGGAGGGATGGGACTGTTGATTTCTCCGTAGCTTTGGAACCTGCCCTGGAACTTGCTCTGTAAACCTGACTGTCCTCCAAATCAGAGATCTGCCTACTTCTGCCTCCCAAGTACTGGAACTAAAGGCATGTACCACACCGCCTGGCTAAAATAACTAGTTTGAATGCAAAGCTTTCCTAAGTTCACATAAAGTACTTTAGATGTTTATTATCATTTGAGGCAGGGTCTTCTAGATCAGGATGGCCTAGAACCCTCTGTGTAGCTGAAAATGACTTTGAACTTCTGATCTCTCTGACCTCTCTACCTCAGTCCTGGGTCACTGCTGGGTGCTACCATTGATGCAGCACTGGGGATGGAAGCAAGCTAGGCAAGCACTCTGCTTTACACAGGGTCACGAGAACGGGAGGATTTTGTTGATGATGCCGCTTAGTCCTTCACTGCACACACCACGCCGTCTTCATCTGTTGTGGACACACTGCTGTTGTGAATGGCACAGTGATCACGGTAGGCCGGCCAGAGACGACAGAGCAAGGGGACATTGGATTGTTTTGCTCTTTCGCACAGCAGCATCGCATGGGGTTCAGAGGTGACCTGCTGTTTCACACAGCTGCCGGCTCCTTGTCTGTAAAGGAAAGAAGCAATGACCTTGTCATAGCATTTTTTGTTATCATATGTGTGACAATGAACATGGTTTTGTAAGTGAATATACTTTTTTATTTTGTTATGTGTATCAGTGTTTGCCTGCATGTGTGTCTGGTACCACTTGTGTGCCCAGTGCCTGCAGAGGCCTGAAGAAGGCATTCGATCCTCTGGAGCTGGAGTTACAGACAGTTGTGAGCTGCTCTGTGGGTGTTGGGATTGAACGTGCACACTCTGGCAGCCTGTACTCTTGTCCACTGAGCCGTGTCTCCAGGCTGGATTTTTTTTAATAGAGAAAATGTCACAACAATAAAAGGGGTTAGAGAAGCTCTTAGCTTTGTGGTGACAGATGTAGAACTTGCCATGACTGAAATGACTGACACTCTGGTTAGACGCTGCAAACACCAAGAAATGGCAACTCAGATACAAGACCTAGGGATAATCTCATGCCCCTTTAGGATCCCCAAAGATGTGTGCTTCGTGCGGGCTCATGTGTATGTGACTACCAGAGATCAGATGTCTTTGTTGAAGGCTTTCCTCTCAGGGTCCGAATTAATTTTCTGAGAAAGGCTTCTCACTGCATCTGCTGGATGGAGAGCGAGTGTCTGGGATCAGCCTGTAATGTCCCCAGTGCTAAAGTTATTATTAAGTGTTATTCTGCCTGGATTTTGCCTT